TTGCAGGCAATGGTGTTTTGCATAAGTCTCTGAAATGGCTGTGCAATGTACATTTGAGAGTATGAAATTATGTAGGTAAGAAATTACTGGGAAGATTGTTTCTCAAATGTCAGGTGCTTTTCTTTCAGCTAACTTAGGGTTTTTAGATCTTAGAAGCTGAATGTACATGAAAACATCCAGGACTATAAGAAGTGATCTTAGTATATATTAAAGGCCTGACTGACAAACAGAAATAGTCAAGCCAAATTAGAGAGAGAGAGAGAAAGAGAGAGAGAGAGAGAGAGAGAGAGAGAGAGAGAGAGAGAGAGAGAGAGAGAGAGAGAGAGAGAGAGAGAGAGAGAGAGAGAGAGAGAAAAGCAGGGCTTAATCTAGTCTGGGATTCTGTGTTTCAAGGCTAGCAAGGGAAACCCTAGAGAACAGTGCTTCAAAAAGAAAGCAGACGAAATCAGTAGGGCCCTGAGAGAAAGTACGTAAGAGTTTGATGCCAAGGAGAAGGAATTTGAAGCACATAACGCTTACTTTAAAAAAAATGTATAAGGGAACCGGTTTTGAGACTGACAAAAGTGAAAGTGGCCTTAGAAGAGATCTCTATCACCTAAGATAGAGCACTTAAAAAAATACCTCCTGTGAACAGTAAGACTATCTTTTCAGGAAGGGACCAAAGGAGAAAGTAACACTCCACACCCCTTCAAAAATATCATGGGATGTTTTTTTTAAAATTTTATTAAAAAATTAGAAACATAAGATATCTAGAGACAAGGAAGGTCAGATTGTTCATGTCACTTACAGTAAATTAACACTTCATTCATTTTTCTGGCGCGTCTCATTCAGAACATACGGTAAGTGCGGGTTACAATACTATAATTGCAGTCAGCGCAGCTTGGTATCCTGTCAGGCTTGCCTGCGCTTCCCGCTCCGATACTCCCCCGCCCCACCTCCCCATTCTTCCGCCCCCAAAATGTTTTTCACTCAACAGGTACCACGAAAACTTGCAGTTAACCCGTGGTCATCTTTTTTTGCAGGGAAAGACACCCTAGTTCTTTAATTCTATAGGATGCTGCCTCCACGCGACTCCTACTTACAAAACACCCGTCTCCTAAGGAGCTCCGGGGCCATCTATTAAACTAGCCTTGTGACAGGCAAACTAAACATTAATTCTAAGATCCTAATACGTCTAGCAAACAACCGTAACATGGTCCGGTGCAACCAGAAACACGTTTTATGCAGAAAACTAGAGTTCTAAGGCGATGAGGATGTTTTCTATGTATTGGCTTGGATCTGAAAGAAAGGCTCTTGCCAAAATATGCTTTAATGCAAACTGAGAATTAGAGAGCATTTTGCTTGCACATAGAAACAGAGAAAGCCCCATTGAATTAAGAATGTTAAAAAAAAACCCCAAACTGTATTACTTATCATTGAACATAGTGTTAAGATAAAATAGCACAAGGTAGCTAGCCCTCCTACTCCTTTGAAACATGAATTATTATTTCCACGGAATGCAAATGCACTGCTTTCTGTGTGAGGACAACCAGCTGCAAGCTGTACAATACACTGTTTCATAAAGACGGAGCCAGATTGCAGTTCAGAGAGTCACCCCCTTTAAAAAGGAAAAAACATGCAGTTTATGTTGACGAACCTCTGTGTGCCTATGCAAAAACCGAGATTTAAAACTCGGTCTCCCCCCCACCCCCACAAAAAACCCGAGATCGATAGTGTCTATTCGAGCTGCTCTGTGGAGGAGGAGGAGGAGTAGAAGGAGGAGGAGGCAATCCATCCAAAATTCATCATTAGTCATAAACACCTCAAGAGTATTTCTTACAGCAATTAGTAGACAGCAGGTTGAGTGTGAAGTTGTAGAATGAGGCTTTCGGGTTCGTTTCCTCCCCTACCTATTTCATGGAGATCCCTTTCACATGCTCCCCAATGTTCCCTGAAACCCTGCTGCTTTACATGACATTTTACATTTCCACTTCTCCGATGTGCATGTGACATTCACTTCTACCTGTCTGAACAGGAGACTTTCTGGAGGTCTTTTATTTATTTATTTATTTATTTTGGTCTTCAGATAATGGCTTTCTATCTTTATTCCTCCCCCAGAGGGTCTATCTCTGCACTCCATGGCATTTCATGTTTTAAAATTTTTATCTTTGCCCAACCCTTCTGCAAGGTCCCAGTGCAGCTCTTCTACACCCTTCCATTCATCCACAGGGACACGCATATAGAGAATGCACTGATGCATGCAAATACATTCATTCATCTGTCTATCTATCTATCTATCTATCTATCTATCTATCTATCTATCTATCTATCTATCTACCCTACCTACTTACCCATGTCTCCCTCTATTATTCTTCCTGAGTTGTGAGTCATAGCTCCCTAATGCCTTTTAGAACATATAGTGTACATACAGTGCACCTCCCCTAACTTTCCCCACTGAATGGGTTAAAGGAATTACAGTAGTGTCTTTAGTATCAATATTCCACCAAGGCTATAATATTTATCTATTTAACTAGAAATAAAGGTAGTCTTCCCCTTAAAAAAAAGTCTTGCAGTGGGATTCTGCTTGAATATACACTAGTTAGAGGCTATACGAACCAACTCACGTATTCGTTTGAGCATACTGCAAGAATATTTATTGAGCTCGGGCTCAATCACTGCATTGAACGCCAAGCCTGGCAAGCAAATGCATTTCCTATCTGAGAATAGAGTCGTGAAGCAACCCGTTCTTTATTATTTTTATTGTTGTTATTATCATTATCATTATCATCATCATTAGTCCGAATGGCAAAGTAATATGCAGACCTATTTCCAGGAGACAACTCAGAACACCTCAGATCAAAAGAGGAGACCCCTGAAATCAAACCTACCTTTCACACATGAAATCATCAATAAAAAGACGAGGTTCCAAAACGTAAATCCACTTGTAATCCCCATTTTCTTCACCAGAATGAAGTCAAGTCGGCAGCATTTAATACATCCTCCTTTCCCAAAGTCCCCCGATTTTGATTCCTTTGCACGGATTTCCCCTTTGCAGATCCCTTTCATATTATTCGTGAGCTCCTAATTCCTATTCCTTGGCCAGGCGCAGTGGAGTTGTTGCTGTTGTTGGTGCGCGGTCACAGCTCAGAGTGAATGGTGTTTCTGGGATACCACAGCAACCTTGACGAGGACTCAACCATCTCTCCAACGGGGGCACAGAGTCTCAGCTACTCTGGATTTTGTCTTTTCTTATGCATTTTTCCCCTCAATCCAAATCTACCACAATTCTCACTTGTTATAGCAACCGCCAGAAACCAACAGAGAACATCTTGAAGACCAGCAACGCTCTCTGATAAACTCCAAATAATATTTGATATTAAGGGGCTTGTTTTTTTCCAGAGAAGATCAATTCTGCCTGTAAAAGCAGCCCGAGAAATAATGTTAGTGCGATTTCCATTGCAGCCTGAAATAAAATCTAGAAGCTAATGACAGAAAAGATTAAAAGGATACTTTATTAGAGGGATCAGCTTCCTCTTTGAGAAACTGTCATCAAAATGCATAGGGTTATCTATATCTATTTCTATATTTCTGTGCCCCCATCGTTTAATATAGCCTGTGCCACTATTCCACTGGCAGTATATTTAAGGCAGACTGCTTGCATTCATTATACTGTGAATTGATTAGGAATAGAAATTACGAAAGACTGGCTTTTTACAGAGCCTTGAATACATTTAGATAGGTGTATTTTCACCCATATACCCATCTTCTTACGTGTAGCCCCATTTCATTCCAGGGTGGGCAGGAGAAAAAGTCATTTTCACACATACATTCCACCTTCACATTATTTTTTCTCCCCTATGCCTATAGTGTGCTACAAATAAAGAATAATTTGAGATAGTAAAAGGGAGCCATCTCATTTGTATCAATTCTGAAGCACTCTCAAATATGCAAATTGAGGGAAATTCTTTCAAAACGAAAAATGTATGCATATATGCATCTACACTCAGCTTCATGCTCAACCCAAGGGTTAACGCCCTGCAAGGGAAGAGCACTTGCGCCATCTACTGGATGCGAGGAGACCATAGATTCCACTCTATTTCTAAGACGAACCCCATTTTTTTTCCTTCCCCCTTAACATTGTAGGGTAGCACCGTCCCTGCGAGTGGAATTTTTTGCTCCAATATGTCAGCGCTTAAGTATGCTTCTGAAACCCACCTCCACAATCCTAACAATGAGGCCGCACCTTACAGTAGGCTAGGGAGCCGACAGACCTTTGTGGGAATTCTCATCTACTAGGGGGAGGTGGAGAGAACTGCAGTCCCTTTGCCTGGAATAGGTAAATGCATTAGCCTTTGCCGATATTCGAATGATGAAGCATGTGTTTGGGGTTTACAAAAGGCATATAGCAAAGGAAGGCTCGTCCTTGTGGAGTTTGTGGATCACAGGCATTGTCCTCAGTTGTTTTCCTGTCCCATACTTTCTGCGACTCCCAACAGCTCCTGTGTCAGGGTTCTGTATGAGGTTGATTGCTGAGAAGGGAGTGAGGGATAGAGTCTGGAGGGACTTGTTCTCCAAGGGATGCTGTGCATATTATAACTAGGCATGCCAGAAAGAGGACTGTGTATGTGTGTAGAGAGAGCGTGCTTGATTCGATATTGCGGATACTAGGGTAGGTATTGTGCCTTTCCAGTATGTTGTATTGTGTGATGCAGAGAAGGCGGGTGTATGGGGTGGGGGGGAGGCGGGAGAAGAGAGAGAGAGGGAGAGAGCGAGAGAGAGAGCGCTTATTTTTGGAGAATGAAGAGGGTGTAGATTTTCAGGCATGTGCATGTGCTTGTAAGCGTGTTTGTGCAGTGTATGTGCATTAGCCATACATGTTTGGGACGGGGATGGCTCTTCCCTCCTCCCTGCGGCCCCCACCACAGGCAGCTGTGGAAGCAGCAGCAGAAGCAGGATACTACTAAATGACCTCATTAAACACATCCAGGCACCTTCAGGGATTATTGGGAATGAGATTTGGTTCTTGCCATCAATATCCTGGTTTACTGTCTGCATATGCAGATTTCCCAGGGTCACAAGGTTGGGACCGAATGAGAACAGGGAGGATCAACACTGGAAACGTCATTAGGTACTGAGGAACCTCGGCCAAGAGTCAGGAATTGATCTTAGCTGATGTCAACATGAGTTCCTGCTGTCGAGGTCAAAGAAAAGTTAGATTCAAACAGGTCCTTTAACCTAATGAAAAAGTTCCACAGCATTGCCTTTTCCATGAAATGGAGAGGTCAGTCATCTTACTAAAGAACTTAAAAAGAAGGTGAGTTTTAAAATTTATTTCTCTTACTTTTTAAATTGCACATTTAAAAATTTTATACTTGTAGACCTAATTGTAAGGGAAAAAAAACATCTAAAAGAGCACATTACCAGGTGCCAAAAATCAGGGAAATTTTAAATGAGGGCAGAACTCCTCCCCTAGCCTGTCTTATTTACCTGCAGCCCAGGGATCCAAGGTATCCATGGATAAATTTCAAGAGGTCTGAGGACTTGAATTGGAAAAAATACATCTTCATTTTTGTTAACTTCAAAATGCAATGTGGCATTTCCTTCAATTATGAAAGTAGGCTAAACACATTTTTTTTCCCTGAGAAATGCTTCATAGATTTCAACATATTGCTAAAGGTATACAAAACATTTAAGAACCTCTTTATTTACATTTTAAAAGTGAGACTCCATTTGTTGTTGTTTAGTGATTTTTCAGTAGTGGTTGACTCAGTGAACCCATTTGGAGTTTTCTTGGAAAAGATACTGGAATAGTCTGTCATTTCCTTCTCCTGCTCATTTTACAGATGAAGAAACTGAGACTTACAGGGTTGACTTGCCCAGAGTAACACAGCTAGTGAGTGTCTGAGGCCTGATTTAAACACAGGAAGAAGAGTCTTCCTGACTCCAGGTACAGCACTCTATTTATTGCTCCATCCATTTATCTGCTTTCTTTAAATGCTTTCTGCCCATATCTTCACTGAAAATGCCATTATTTAAGATTTGCCACAAATCATTAGACTTTCCAAATAATTACTAGAGCGATAAATACCTCACAAACAATTTCCCCCTCTACCTAACAGCCCTGCTGTCAGAATAGTTAACAATGTTTTCTTCATGTTTTACAGATGGGAAAATTAAGGCATGGTGAGATGTAGTGTCACATACGAGGTCACCAACAGAGCTCAGAAGAAAACCCCAGGAGTGGTGACATTTCGTCCTATGTGCTAACTGCTGGCTCACACTCTGTCTGTCATGCTGAAGATTCTACTCTGCTGGGAAGATCTCAGAAGTCATTCTAGAAATACATTAACATCGACAAGGAAAAAAGATTTCTAGGTGAACACTATCTCCCAAAGGAGGCATATTGATATCTAGAATTGGGTGGGGAATGCTAGTAAATGTTTTCTATATTATTGATAATAGGAGTATTCAAATAACACAAATTATGATTTTTAGTTCCTTATGACATCATAAACAAGTTTTCCAAATATTATAAAAGTGATTATGAGTACAAACTATAGACACAGACAGACACACACACAAAGAAAACCTCAGCAAAATTCCTTCCTTCCTTCCTTCCTTCCTTCCTTCCTTCCTTCCTTCCTTCCTTCCTTCCTTTCCTTCCTCCTTGTTTTCCCCCTTCTGTCTCTTTCTCTTTCCCTCTGTCTCTCTCTATATTTTTCTCTCTGTCTCTGTGTCTCTGTCATTTGTCTCTGTGTCTCTCTCTGTCTTTGTTTCTATCTTTCTCTGTCTCTCTGTCTCTGGCTCTCTGTCTCTCTGTCTGTCTGTCTGTCTGTCTCTCTCCTCTTTTTCTTTCTGGCACACTCCAGCCTATTGATCTTTTGCATATAGGTCAAGGATGAAAATGATTTGGCAAGAATCATTAAGTCAATCTTGATGATGACATACTGTCAAGAGTTTTTGAAGACTTTAGATAAAAAATGGATTGATATGTAAAATTGAAAGTTTCAGGTGAAAGTGTACTCTGAGGTACCATTAGACCTAAAAACAAAACAATACTGGGCAGTACAGGCATTTGATAGATGAAATTTGCCCCTTCCAAAAACTGCCTAATGTGGTTACATTTTTTTGTCTTAGCATTCAGAAGTAATCGCATGGAAATGTGAGTAAAAGAAAGAAAGTAGAATGAGTACAGTGTGAAGAAAAACCTCTTAGATCAATTTTAAAAGCAGACAGGCCTTTTTATTTTAAGAGCACATCTTTACAGGGTAAATACAAAGGGACAGCAATTGTGTTGTTTACAATGCTGCAAGGGCTGCAAGTTATTCATAGTTCAAGATGCAGCAAGTCATGGTTTAGCATGAATATTATTTTTTTTCAGTGAGGACCTATAGATTAGTAGTAGTTTGTTAGTAAGTATGTAGAATCTAAGGTATTGTGTTACAATTTAGTCTTAGAGTACCAATACAAATATGAATGACTTAGCTTAGAACATGGGCATTATAACCACCAAAAAGACGCCCCCCCAGACACACACAGCACAAGCAGACATCCTCATCCTCATTTGCAGTTGGAAGGCTAAAAAGTCTACTTAAAAACAAACACCTTTTTTTCGTTATTTATCCCTAAGACAGAAATATCTCTACTCTCCAGCCCTGATCTACACCTCTTAAGAAATCAAACCCATTTAAACTTTAATATTTAATCTATAAATTTGTGATATATGACTATGATGGGAATTGCTATAATTTTGCTATATTGTGATGGATTGTGCTATAAGAAATGGCAAGCGGGATGTTTTCAGGAAAACTGGGAAGACATATGAATTGATGCAAAGTGAAGTAAGCAGAACCAAGAGAACATCTACACAGTATTTTATGATAATCAACTTTACATGACTTAGCTCTTCTGAGTCATACAATGATCCAAGACAATTCCTAAGGACTTAGGATGAAAAATGCTATCCACTTCTGGAGAAAGAACTGATGGAGTCTGAATGCAGATCAAAGCTTACTTTTTAAACTTTTTTTCTTTTCTTTTCTTTTGTCTGTTTTGCAACATGGCTAATATGGAAATATATTTTACCTGACTACATATATATATATATATAAAATCTATAGCAAATTGCTGCCCTTCTTGAGGAGGGGTTGGAGAGAGAGAGAATGTGGAACTCATTGTTTTGATGGTAAAATTGTGTTTTTACATGTAATTGAGAAAAAAAGAAAAGAAAAAAATTAACCTGTAATAATCAGAGCTTTTTGAGTCAACTCTATATAGATACCTTTTGTTTCCAATAAGCCCTTTAGATTTTTTTAAAGGAAAAGTAAAGTAAAAGTAGTAAGACCTTCATAAAAAGACTTTTAAAAAATAAATAATGTTTAAAAGGTATTTATAAGAACTGTGACAGTCTTGCCACCCTGATTATTAGTCAAGAAGTATCATTGATAAGGGGCAGCTAGGTGATGCAGTGGATAGATCTCAGGCCTTGGAGTCAGGAGGACCTGAGTTTAAATCCTACCTCAGACACTTTCTATCTATGTGACCCTGGGCAAGTTACTTAACCCCGATTGCTTCACCAAAAAAAAAAAATCATTGATAAATGGGATCACATTTCTTATGTGATATTAAAACTGGCTTATTAGGCATCCATTCCCCTTATGTCCTGATGTAGCTGTCAATTTCATTAATGGTTAAACTCCCAATTTTTTTTTCATTTATAGCTTTTAGCTACAAATAAGTGAACACTTGTTATAGTAAAACAATAAAATAGTAAACTTGGGAGGACTTACTACCTGTGAATTCATCCCACTACATTGAATTATCAATACAGAGAAAAAAAACCCTGAAAATTCAGTAAAAAAAACCATATTAACATGAACAAATAGGGTAAACTAAGTGCTTTCCAAAGAAAATGTTGCTAAAACAAATGCAAGAGTGGTAGAGAAAAAATAAGAAGAACCATTAGCATCATTAAAGAAATTTTTGTACTATTTTATACCATTGCTAACTTTGGCTTATAATCCATTAAGCTGAATTTCCATACTTCCAAACTTTGCTGCATCTGTGATCTTACTAATGGCAGCTGGTGACACAGTGGATAAAATGCTGGGCCTAGAGTCAAGAAGACTTGAATTCAAATCTGGAATCATATACTTACTAGCTGTGTAACCACAGGCAAATTATTTAAGCTGTGTTTGCTTCACTTTCCTTAAATGTAAAATGAGGATAACAGTAGCACCTATCTCAAAGGCCTGTTGTAAGGATCATATAATGGGATAATTATTGGAAAAAAATGTTTAGCATAGTGCCTGGCTCATCATAGGTGCTTAAAAATGCTATTTCCTGTCCTTCCATTCCTTTTCTCTTTCCCTTTACTGGTGTATTTCATGGCAGAGCTACACCTCTTTTTATGTGATTCTTGTTCAGATTCTCCCATAAGCTCTCCATAGCAAGTCCTTTCAATGATGTGGGCCTTAGTGTAGGTGTCTTTTCTTTTAAAATTATGAAGATATCAATGAAGTACTGGCATTGTCCAGTTATCTCTCATTATCAATATCTAACTGATCAGCTTCCTTTTCCAAGTGTACATTCATGGATGAGATATTTTACTCAATTTCATTTAAGAGATCAGCATAGGGATATCCATCATGCAGCTCTTTCTGTTGTTGTTTTTTTTTTGCATTATCTGCCATTTTGATTTTTTGGAGAGTATGGTATTCCATAGGTCTTACTCTTTGTTGCTTGTTTTTTCATTTCTGAAGATGATCAGTGACATCATGGGTGATGCCTTGACTTGCTTATGAATTGAAGTGGGAAAGCATTGTGCAAAGTTGTCAGACTCATTCTCTCTTCTGCAGTCATTGAAATCCAGTAGCTAGACAAAAGTCAGGACAGCTGGTGACGGCCCAGGATATGGTGCATGACCTGGCATCTTCAATGTCTGACCAACCTGTAAGTACTCCATAGTGACTGTTTTAGTTGCCTTCATGGCCATTGGAACAAATTGTTCTCAGTCACCCATTCTACTGGGGCAAGTCTTCACATGCTTAGGGTAGACATCTCCCCACTTTCCTGATGGGTTTGAGGCTTGTCAGTTACCCTCAACCTGGTTAAAAAAGCCCATTTGCTGTGATGGGTTTACTGGAGTGAGGTTTCTGTGCATGCTACAGCTTCTTGGAAACACAGGTGGGGGTTGGGTTACAGGTGGACCCCAAAGGTAGATGAGCAGCCCCAAAAAGGGCTCAGCAAGCCCTCACACAAGGAGTGCTAGTTCTCCCTGAACACCCCATCAAGAGAGTGCATCAATACTTCAATAGATACCTGACTTCACTTATGTAGATACTGTTGTCCAGTGGTATAGGTAACAGTTTCTCAGTGAATTCCCATCCATTCCATGCCCTCCTGTATATCCTTGACTAAATATTTATACAAATGTTGAAGCCCTTATTCTATGCCTTTTAATATTATATGGATATTAAAACAATATGAGATTGTCCATAGTCCTCTCTTGCTGTGTGAACTACCCAACTCCTTTTCCAATCATAACCTGAGTATCTTTTGCTCTACTTGAAGATGTTATAAATGTCAATGACCTGTTTCAGTGTATTTTTGCCCACCATAATTGTTTCCTTTGATTTCTGGTGAACGTACCCTTTCAATTCTGTAGACACAGGAGTATTTTTAATGATTGGTAGCTGTAAAGTTTCTTTGAGAAAATTACCTTTCTTTGTATGCCCAAGTTCTTAGCATAGTGTCTGCCACATTATCAGATCTTAATAAATGTGCTAGTTGCTCTGTTGTTGATGATGATGACAGTTTTCAATACGTGTGCATGTGCATGTATAAATTATACACACACACCTCTAAAGGTATTATTGAGACTATATATCAATAATAAAAAGATAATTAAAAAAAGATTTGTTTGACTTTATTCTGGTCTTAATACATTCGTGGCAGACACCTTCTAGCATAGAGTGGATAGTACTGGGTTTTGACACATAGAATCAAATGTATTTTTATAATGAATAAAATTTGTGATATGTATTCTTTTCATCTTTTAGTGACTATGCAAATGAAGTATGATATAGAAAATCATTTAAACTCTTCCTGAAAACTTTAAGTTCATGTATAAATATAATATTTTTCTATTTTCACCAATGATATTCTCAACATATGCATAGACCAAGATAAATTTCATTGAAAAGTCAATATAGTCTACAGAAATGTAGTTGTCCATCACATTTTATTGACAAAATATAAGCTATCATTCCCCCCCCATTTTTGGAAATCTTATTTTTGTGGTATATTTTGTGCTATCAGTGTTTTCAGACTTGTGTTATAGCCAGTAGAGATATTTTTTTCTCTGTGAACGTGGTTTACTGCAGTAATCACTGAACTTCAACTTAAGTATTGTATCTACTTTCTTGTAAGGAGCAATGTGTGGCTGAAAGATCAGAAAAGCTTGCTGACAATCATACCCATATAAATATCTACATGTATAGCTAAAGGACAAGCAATGGGGCATAGTGGATAGAGATCTGGCTTTGGCATCAGGAAAATTTTGTTTTGTGTCTTGATTCTTCCACATATTCTCTGTTCAGGTTTAACAAGTCATTTAACATCTCAGTACCCCAGTCAACACTCAAAGATTGTAAGTTGCAGAGAAAATGCTGATCCAAGGTTCCTCACAGGTCTTCTGGGAAAATATACACATTTTTAAAAAATCTATATCCTTGCTATAAAAAGGGAATATATTGCAAAAATTCAGGGTAGACAGCAATGCCTTAAAGTGGCTCTGCCTATAAGCTTTGATTATAATGATTTTCCTCCTCCATTTATTGGAATAGAAGACAAAGAGAATATCCAGATTAAGGAAACTTGGAATGTGAGCAAAGTATATATTCAGACAACTGTTGGCAGTTTGTTGGAAGGGTAGCCATTAAAATGATGCCCACTACATTTTTGGCAATTCAAATTTAAGCAGCTGTTCTGAAGTACCTTAAGTCAGTAGAGGCTGTGGATGAAAGCACTGCTGTTAGTGACTAGAAAAGGAGGTGTTTTTTTTCTTTCTTTTCTTCTTCTCCTTGAGAAGGCAAGCATTTTGATATAGATTATACATGTGCAGTCATGTAAAACATTTCTATATTATCCATGTTGCAAAAGAAAATGTAGCCCCCCTCAAAAAAAAGAATAATAAAGACAGTTTAAAAAGTATGCTTCAATCTGCATTCAGACATCAATTCTTTCTCTGGAGGTACATAGCATCTCTCATCATAAGTCCTTTGGAATTGTCTTGGATCGTTGTATTGCTGAGAATAACTAAGTTATTCACACTTAATCATCGTTACAGTATTACTATCGCTGTGTCCAATGTTATCCTGGTTCTGCTCATTTCACTCAGCATCAGTTCAAGTAAGTCTTCCCAGGTTTTTCTGAAACTATCCTTCTCATCATTTCTAACAGTTGAAATGTATTCCATCACAATCATATACCACAAGTTCACCCACTCCGCAATTGGTTTCCTCTCAATTTATAATTCTTTGCCACCACAAATACTTTTGTTCATACAAGTCCTTTTCTTTTTTCTTTGGGATACAGGCCTAGTATGGTATTGCTGGATAAAGGGTATGCACAATTTTATCACCCTTTGGGCATGGGTCCAAATTGCTTGGATGAAGTTTGAATCAGTTCACAACTCTACCAATGGTGCATTTGTGTCTCAATTTTCCCACATCCTTTCCAACATTTGTCATTTTCCTCTTCTGACATAATAGCCAATCTGCAAGGTTACCTGATATTTGTTTTAATTTTCATTTCTCTGATCAATAGTGATTTAAAACATCTATATGGCTATAGATAGCTTTGATTTCTTTTTTCTGGAAATTCCCTCTTCATATCCTTTGACCATTTATTAATTGGGGAATGACTTCTATTCTTATACATTTGAGAAATTAGGCCTTTATCAGAGACATTTGCTGTAAATCTCTTCCTCCCCCCCGCACCCCAGTTTCTTGATTTCCTTTTAATTTTGTCTGCATTGGTTTTGTCTGTGCAATCCCTTTTTAATTTGATGTAATCAAAATTATCCAATTTACAGTCTATAATGCCCTCAATCTCTTGTTTGGTCACAGCCTCTTCCCTAATGCTCCCCTAATCTGCTTATGATTTCACCCTTTATGTCTAAATCATGTACTGATTATGACCGAATCTCAGTATACTGTGTGAGATATTGGTTTGTACCTAACTTCTGCCAAACTACTTTCCAGTTTTCCTAACAATCTTTGTCAAATAGTGATTCTTTGTTCCTAAATCATAGATCTTTATGTTTGTCAAACACTGGACTACTTTGGCCATTTACTACTGTGTATTGTGTACCTAATCTATTTCACTCATCTACCACTCTATTTCTTAGCAAGCACTTGGTTGGATGATTACCATTTTATAATACAGTTTGAGATCTGGTACTACTAAGTTACCTTCCTTCACATTTTGTTTTTCATTGGTCCTCTTGATTTTCTTGAACTTTTGTTCCTTCAGATAAATTTTGTTATTTTTTTTTGTGCCTCTATAAAATATTTTGGTAGTTTGATTGGTATGACACTGAATAAATAAATTAATTCAGATAGAATCATCAGTTTTATTCTAATTGGCTCAGCTTACCCAAGAGCAATAATAGTTTTCCATTTGTTCACATCAGATTTTGTGTGAAAAGTGTTTTGTAATTGTGTTCATGTAGTTCTGGGGTCTGTCTTAGCAGGCAGACTCACAAATATTTTACATTGTCTGTACTTATTTTAAATGGGATTTATCTTTCTATCTCTTGCTCTTGGACTTTGTTGGTAATATACAGAAAGGCTGATGATTTGTGTGTATTTATTTTATATCCTGCAACTTTGCTGAATTTGTTACTTATTTCAATTAGTTTTTAGTTGACTCTAGAATTCTCTAAGTATGTCACCATATCATCTGCAAAGAGTGATAGTTTTGTTTCCTCACTGACTATTTTAAATTTCTTCCATTTCTTTTTCTTGTCTCATTACTATAATTAGTTATCTTTAAAACAAATTGAATAATAGTGATAACGGACATCCTTGCCCTGATCTGATTGGAAAAAAAAACTTTTAATTTATTCTCATTATAAATAATGCTTGCTGCTGATTGTAGATAAATACTGCTTGTCATTTTAAGGACAGCTGTATTTATTCTTATGTTTTCTGTTATTTTTAGTAAGAACGAGTTTTATATTTTGTCAAAAGGTTTTTCTTTTTGCATTGATTGAACTAACCATGATATTGTTGTTGGTTTTGTTATTGATATAGTCAATTATGCTGATAGTTTCCTAATATTGAACCAGTCCTGCATTAATGTCATAAATCCCAAATGGTCATAGGATCTTTGTGATATATTAACTGCAATCTTCCTGATAGTATTATATTTGAAATTTTTGCATGACTATTCACTAGGGAAATTGGCCTTCAGTTTTTTTTGGTTTTGCTCTTCCTGGCATAAGCACCATATTTGGTAGGATTCCTTCTTTACCCAACTCCGATCTACTTAAGTGAGTTATTGTTACTGAATATTGGTAACAGACAGCAGAAAGAACAGCAATACCAATTATAGCAATTTAATTCAAAAGTTTAATTGATGTAAAGCATATATCATTCCAAGGAGAACAAAAGAGTGATCAATTCACAAGGTATCTGAAAGAAGGGGAAATGCCAAAGGCATGTGAAACAATCTGAGTGACCATTTAATTTAAGAGTAACCAAACAATCTAAGAGAATCTAAGTGACTAAACTATCTAAGAGAATACTGTGTATGGATCTAGATTGATTTGCTCATCTTTATAAAATTATTATGAGAATTAAGTACAAAGATACAGACAAGTAGACATTCTCAGAGTATTAAGAGGGAATAATCAGGTTTTCTCAAGTGGTAGTCTATAGTATATCACATCTTTACAATAGCGTGATTGACTGAGAATGGTAGAAAGTAATCCTACCACATTTATTAATTTTAGAAGCTCTTATTTAAAA